GCAAATGGTAGGTGACTCACATGCAACCCAGCTGTGAGCACCTGCTGCGGGTGGTAGAAGGCCCACGAAGGCCCTCTTAAGAGACCTCGCAGGGGGATATTCCAAGTGTCACCATTGCCTTACTTGCTGATAAACCACAGATTGTACAGTTTGCTTCCCTCATCGCTTTCCCAGGTCTGGGTCAGGGTGGGAAAGGAAACAAGTGTACCCTCAGCCCCTGTGATGTCTGCTCTCTGTTCAGGAGCAGAGGCTGTGGACATGGCAAGGCCACACTGCATCCAGCAGGCACTTGAGTATGCTGTTGGGCAGCAGCCACTGGGAGGCAGCCAGCTTCTAGCATTGGTGGCTCACAGTGGGGTGTTAGGGACAAACTGCTGCTGGCCAGATGCCCCATGACCAATGCTCTGTGTGACTACTGTCAGGGTACAAGGACTCTCAGGGCACTGTGGCCAACTCCTCCCAAGGAGGAGTTCTGGGGAAGTAGGCAGGAAGTTTCTGGAGGTGGTGACCCATGAGCTGAGTGCCTTCTGAGAAGTCAGTAGCTTTGTCCCTTAAGCACAGCCTAAGGTGAGCCTTCTGTCTTAGTTGGGGAGGAGTAGGGTTGTATCTATAGTGTTCTTCTGACTTGTTAGCTGGGTCTTCCACAACCTGTTTCCTTCTTCATCCTTCCTACTCCCTTTCCCCTCATTCCTTTTTCCACAGAGATAAGGCAAAGCATCAGGGTAGTATATGTTTCAATCCAAAGGTGCCATGTGGTTTTGAGGGACCCATTTGGGGGGTTTTCGTTATCACAGAATCTGTCCAGCCAGCCGCTAAACATCTGGTGCAGCTGGACCATCTTGCCCAGGCCTGACAGGTGTGTTGTCATTTGTATCCATGTGTTGTGGCCATGAGGACTCCCGAGAGCCAGGATGAGGTCATCGTCTGGGGAGCCTCCTCCACGGTGGAAATGAAGGCCTGTCGTGTGTGCAGACACCTTGGGAGTCTGATGTTTGGCACACGGGCATTGGCTGCCCATGTGATGCTACTTTCCGTGAGACTGACCTCCCGAACCCCCAGAAGTGTATTCCGAGGCCAGTACTATGTCTTTGCCAAGCTCCAGAGAGAGTCCCCTGTGAGCAGAGAATCCCCTGGTAGTGAGCAGCCTCACTGGCCTGGCCCCAAAGTGGCAGCTAGAAACCATCTCAGACCCGAGTGTCACCCACGTGGGTCTGGGACGCAGAAGGGCAGAGGTTGAGGAAGCCACGGGGGCTAGAGGGCATCTGTACTCCCTTACCCTTATACCTAGTGGGAAGAAGATCCTTTCTTCAGAGGTGAAATCTTCATAGCCCAAGGGCTACAGCTAAGCGAGGCATGGGATGGAGGAAGGGGTCTAACAAAAGCCCTACTCACTCACTACTGGTTTCTGAAAGCCCAAATTGCAGGGCAAACCTGTATTGGATGGTTTGGTGGACTGTCCACTGCCAGCCCTCTCAGAATGGCCCTCCAAGTCCTCACGGTTCTTTCCAGGCAAGGAGAAGACGGCGTCGGGGTCTGCAACTGCCCCTGAAAAGAGAAATCTAGAGAAATGGCTCAGATGTTGTACAGGGTGACTGGGGCAGAGAGCCTAGACTCCTCGCCTGACCACTGGCAGAGCAGATCCCTCCCAGAGGGGCTCCCGGTTTGGGGAAGTGCTGCGGAAGCCAGGATTGAGCACCAGACCATCCAGGACCTTCCACCCACTGGCCACAGCCAGGCTGCACCTTCAGGGTGGAGGGGTGAGAAATACCAGGTTGTCACCCAGCCCCATGGCCTGCTCTGTGGGGCCACAGGTGACCCCTCAGCCATCCTGTGGGGGACTGCACCCTCGTTCCCAACAAGGCCAGGACACAAGGCCCCAAGCCCCCAGTGCTTCCTTCCCCTGCTGAGTGGTGAAGACTTCTACCACTGATGGCCTTGCCATCGCAACCTTGGTTACGGACAGCAGCATGTGGGAATGACAGGCAATGAGGGGCTGCCATCTTGTTGTGGCGGATGGTGGAGGGGCTCCTCAAGCGTTGAAACCTCAAGTTGGGTTGTTTTAAGTGCTGCTTTGCAGTGGGGCAGGCCTAAGAGGACTAGGTCTGAGGTTTGCCTTCCCCACCCCTCCCTCTCCCCTCCCTCTCCGTCTCCCCCCCTTTCCCTTCCCTTCCTGGAAACTCACCTGGGCTGTGTCCCTCACTGAGCCTGACTTCCTGACTTCCAGAGCAGCGGCAGCCCTTGACCTGCCCGACTCCTTTTCGTCCCTCTAGGTCTCAGCTCCGATGCCACCAGCAGTCGATGTCACATCACCCTGTTTAGTTTTCAGGGCACTCATCGCCATCAGCAGTTTTCTTGTTTACGGCATGTCTCATTGGAATGTGAGTGGCGCGAGGACAGGTCACCTGATGTGTTCGCTGGTATCTACTGTGGGGCCCAGAAAGTTCTTGGCACACAGCTGATGAATGTCAGATGAATGTCACCTCTCCTCGGAGTATCTTTTTAGGGACTTCAGGAAATCCAATGATAAATCCAACAGAATAAGAGCATATGACGAGGCTTTATGGAATCCTGGTGAGGAAGGGCTTAGAGTGAGGGGAAGTGGCTTTAAAAAATGCTCTGAAGTCATGTTCTCAGTTCTGGATGCTTTCCTTATTTCCATCAAGGGAAATCCAACGAGTTCATGAGTGCCAGGTATTCCCTCCCAAGTCCTCACAGGAAAATATGTACTTCTCTCCACCCCCAACCCATATCTTTCCACTACCCCCCACCCTACTCTGCCAACAAAATATTAGGTTTTAGAATCCTATCAGGCTGAACTTACACTTGTCTTCCTCAGATCCCATGGTTTGGAGTTGGGGAGTTAGCAGGGTGAGGGGGAGCCCAGTAAGCTGATCCTACTCTAGGTGAGTAGGCGCTGCATACCCGGGGCCCCCCCTAAGTGCCATGAGGTACCTAATGGACCAGAAGGCAGGCAAGCCCCGCCCCCAAGGCCTGGCACTTGGGTATCTGGGGACCCTGCCGAGCAGAAAACAAAGTTGCAGCAACTTGGTACCTCTTTAGGGGAGTAGGCCCTCCTTGTTTCCGTCACGGCCCACGTCACATCCGTGGCTGGAAGGGCTTCTGCCCAGAGGCCATTTTCAAAATTTCTCATTTTCTGGGTTGACTCCCCCTGCAGTGAAGCCGTTGCCCCCCGCAGAGAGCTGTTCCTAGGGGGAGCTTGACTCCAGTGCCAGGCGGCACAGAACCTGTCTGTCCTGATGGCCTCACCCTCCCTTTCCTCAGCACCCCCTCCACCCCCACCCCCCCTGCTCTGGGTTCCTGCACATCGAGGAGGGCTTCATTTCTGCAGCTGGAGGGCAGGGCTGCCCTGAGGGTGGTAAGGGTCTCTGTTGATGCTATAGATTCTAGAAGGAGCTGTTGTGTCAGACTTTAGGATGAGATGGTCTTTCTGGTTTGTCAGTAGCAGGTGGGCTTCTATGATCCTAAGCATTTTCACTGCAAAGAGAATTTTTAAGCCCAATTGGGAAAAAGAAGGAAAAGTATCGAGAGAGGGTCAGCTCTCAGGAGATACTACGTGGTATAATAAGGATCTTGGGAGGGCACCTGGGGGGCTCAGCGGTTGGGCATTTGCCTTCGGCTCAGGTCATGATCCTGGGGTCCTGGGATCGAGTCCTGCTTCCCCGCAGGGAGCCTGCTTCTCCTTCTGTCTGTGTCTCTGCCTCTCTGTGTCCCTCATGAATAAATAAATAAAATTTTTTAAAAAAATTAGGACCTAGGAAATGTTGGGTGGAAACTCCATTCCTTTCAGGAATTTCTTTTCTCTCTTTTTTTTTTTTTTGTTTGTTTTTTTTCCTTTCAGGAATTTAATAACGGAGTCGGAACACATTAGGTTATATACCGTGGTAACAAATACCCCCAACATCTCATCTCAGTGGCTTGGAAGTAAAGGAAGATGTTTTTCTCACTCAGGCTATCAGGGGTCACATGGGGCAGGCGGGCTCTGCTCGCCACGGGCCCCAGGGAGCCAGCCCAAAGCTCCTGTGTGCCTCACCGGAGAGGAAGAGTTCTGGAGGGTCTGTGTTTGCATAGCAGTTAAATGCTGTGGTCCAGGAGTGACGCTCAAGCATGCCCAAACGCAGGAGGGTTGGGAAGAAGGATCCTGTAGAGTCTGAAAGTGGGAAGAGCCGGAAACACAGAGCAGCCTCAGGGTTGGCAACGGAGTTGATGGAGTTAGACTTTCAGTTTGAACTGAAAACAGTTCAAACCTTGAAGCTTTGAGACTTTGACTTGTGATTATTTTAATCACTTATTGGGTTTGAAGGCCACAAAACCGTGGTTTCAAGATCATGTTCTGCTCTGGCCTAGAGGGTTATCATTGTGTTTCCTTCCTCAAAAGCCTCTTTTTGGTCAGTTAGCATCAAGAGGCAACTTTAGAAGTTGGAGGGTAATTGGGATTAGGAGTTGAGATGGGGTATCACAGGCAGGGCTGTTTCAGAACTGTTTGGAGAACAGATACTTGGGCCATATTAATAGAAGTAGATGATGTAGATCAAGGGAGGTGATAATCCTCCTTTATTTGCTGTACTTCTATCCTGGCTGACACAGCTCTATTCTTTCTTTCTTTTTTTTTTTTAACAGCTGTGTTCTGAAAAACATACTTTGAAGGCGACTTTGACAAGCTTTGTCAAGCTGGAACCCAGGCAGAGTTATCAGGAGAGAGGGGAGTCTTAAAGATTATTGAAAAGGATAACTTGGCAGCTGCTGGATTTGAAATGCTGTCAGAAGTTTTCCTTTTTACTATTGAGAAAGCTACCTCCTTATTCTGAGATGGATTAGACTGCGTCGTGAGCAGCATGCTCACTGCTCTAAGTGCCCAAAGACACAGAGAATGGAGTTTGACTCTCCAAACGAGGGAGGAAGGGTCATGGAAGTAGGCAGGTTCTCGGGTCCCTTCCAACTCTGTCATGATTATTTCTGACTCAGTTTTTTTTTTTTCTCAGAAATAAAAAATAAGTCTTTGGTCATGGAAGAGTGAAGGCTGGTTGAGACTCCACTACATAAAATGCTGCTGTCCCTAATCCTCTGCGGCTGGTACCCCAAGCACCTCGACACCGGTGATAGGAGAAGGAAGTCAAACCCACATACAGTCTCACAGGGGGTTTTGCTCTACGGGCAGAGTCTGGAGCCAGACAGCTTGGTTTTAAATTCTGGCTCTGTGGCCTTCTAGCCATGTGACCTGGGGTAAGTCACTCAACCTCTGTTTCATACTCTGTAAAATGGAAATGGTAGTACCTCAGGGTTGTGAGGATTAACTGACTTTTTAAAAAAGATTTTGCTTATTTATTTGAGAGAGAGAGAATATATGTGCACAAGCAGAGGAGAAGGGCAGAGGGAGAGGGAGAAGGAGGAAGCAGTTTCCCCACTGAGCACGGAGCCCGATGTGCTGCTGATCTCACGACCCTGAGATCACGACCTGAGTTGAAGCCAAGAGTTCGACACTCAACCAACTGAGCCGCCCAGGGATCCTGAGGATCAAGTGGTTGAATTATACAGAACGTATTGAACATCAGCACCCTGGCACAGAATGTGATCTGAATATGTTTCATCTACTACTTAAACCACTATCGATGTCTGCATTAAGTGCGAAACACTATAGGAATTTGACTCCTATAAACAGGAGAGCAAAACCGAATTTCTCTTTTACTTTCTCCTGTGACTCGTGAAGATATAACAATACCTTACTTACTCTCTGGAAATGGCTCTTTCTTAGCATTTCAGCACAACCCGAGAGGTGAGATTTCATAATTGGAGAGTGCTAGATATATTCTAAACCCACTAATCACGGTTACAGACCCGAATCCTCTACAGCCGTCGTATAAGCCAATAGCAGAAGGGAGGCTGTGTAGTTGGGCATATTCACAATGTATGGTTTGCACTAGGCACGTCAGGAAATGGACCAGAAATTAGCCTTTCTGATCAAGAATTTCAAGCTATGTGCCTCCCCAACCTTACAAGTACTCAAACTCAGTACCTTTTTAGGGTATGGTGTCTATGGTTTTGTATTTCCTAGGCCTGACCTGAAGAGCAGCATGGCCCTGGGGCCCTTGTCGGAGAAACTATTCCCAAGTCTGATGTAAACACAGACGTACGTGCAAGCCACAAGAGCATGCTTCAGGTCGGAGGGGGTTGGTGGCAGGGGTGGGGGCGGTGGGGGGTAAAAGCCCAAAGAGGCATGTGAGACGAAAGCCTTGTTGGTGTGCTTCGTTGACAGGGGTCTCTACTCGCCTGTCTCCGGCAGGTGTCTTAGTTCAGTGATGGTTGAGTCAGACCACCTCAAAGAGTCTTTGAGTGGGGGGCTCTCTTACAGGGTTCACATCTGTGGTGAGAGAAGCTAAGCAGGTGGGAAGCTGAGGATTGGGCTACGTACCCGTGTGCCCACAGACCCTTCCTGTTCACTAGTGATGAGGTCAGCAGTCCTTGCTGGGGTTCCCCACCGCTGCACACCCACATTTTCTCTTTCTCTCCACCACCCTCCCTCTCCCTTCTCCTTCTCCTCCCTCTCCTGGCTATTGGCCCTCACCCAGTTGGGAAACTGTCCTCCTTCCCCCAGACTTGCTGGTCTGCCTTCTGGCTGCAATCAGGGAACACAAGTGAGGGGCAATGGGCATGAGCGAGGGATGTCAGACAGACTGGGGTTTAGGTGGTTAGGCTCTAGTCCCTGCTGAGTCCCTCATAGAGTTTTGGACAAAGTCCCCATTCCAAAAGACTGTTTTCTTATCTTAGTTTTATGAAGTCCACACGTGAGTTTAATGAAGGTTCTAATTCTAGAAGTTTCTAACTTACTAAGACCTAATTGGTGGGGATACTACTACCAGTTGCATGATTGCTGGATCTCTGAATTGGCTGCTGAACTGTTCAGGGGAAGGACCATAGCTACTTAAATGGTACAGAGGAGCACCCATCCCTCACCCCTATGTCCTCCGAGTTCAGATGGATACAATCTTAGACTGTTAGGAGGCATCGCTAAGTGTCCTAACTCTGCTTCCCCTCAGTGTTCACCCTAGGTTGACAATATGATTCTTCCTCAAACTAGCTTTCTTCCTGTAAAATAAGATCAGGGATAGTTTCTATGCCTCAGTTTCCTCTTCTAGAAAACGGGAATAATAGTACTTACTTCCTAAGATTGTTCATGCGAAGAGCTTAGAACAGTGGATGGCATGTAATATAGGCTAGCAAGTGTGAGTGGTTAGGAGACATTGCTTACAGGGCTATAGATTATCTTGCACCTTCTGGAAAACAGGTTAACAGATATATCAAGAGCTTGAAACAAATGGTTCTCAGGCTCACATATCCCCCTTCTAGAAATTCCAGAAAGATAGAACTTGGACAACTCACATAGCACTGTGTTTATCACAGGATTATTATGATAAAAGTCAGAAATACGAGAGATGAAGAAGATCAAATAAATTCCAGTACCCTCCACTTGGCTCCTTTCTAGCCGCTCAAAGACTATAGCAATACAAATTTCTGAAAATACACAAGCCTGTGTGCCTACAGCACGAATGGGAGTGCACACACTGATGTGTGTGGGCCATGTAGCATTGTGGGTTTTCGTTTGTCTTTCGAAAGGGAAGAGATCTGTAGCAGGTGCCACTCATGAGAACATAAGTTTCTTTCCTTTTCTCAGGAAGACTTGACTTTAACGAGGATTGTCACTTAGCGGTTCTTTTCCAGAATTACGTTGCCTTTAGCTTCTGTTCTTAAAATGTATTCAGAAAAAGACTCTGTTAGAGATAAGCAACGGCTATCTACCTAGGGCTGCGGTGCACCAGACCTTTTTGGTGGCGGGGGTGGGGATGGGGGCAATACTCCCTTGCGTTTGGGGGCTGAAGGCAGCCTCCATAATCAGTTGGTAGGGATGTGTTGAGTGCTGACCAGCTGTCATAAAGAGCAAGGGTGGTCTCATACGATCTCTGCTTTTGCTTACCGAGCTTAGGAGAAAAGGACTACTGTTCATCCCAAAATGATGAGAGCAGGCTGGCTCTAGAATGGAAAAGCACATGTGCTGGAGGTTTAGCTGTTTATTCAAGATGTGTTAATATGCGGTTATTCCATTTCAGGGGGCGGGGGAAAGCCTAAATCATTTATATATAGTCCAAGTACCTGAAATAAAAAGGGGAAATCCTATCAAGTGTTAAAACTAGAGGGTCAGGGGGCACCTGGCTGGGTGTAGAGATTACTTAAAAATAAAATCCTAAAAAAAACGAAACAACTAGAGCGTTAGACAAGGTCTTGACACAACTTTCCCTTGCCTTGTTGTAAATGGGAGAACAATTTGGTAAAATACAACGAGCGAAATCGAACTTAAATAAAAACTAATGAAAAAAATAAAATAAACTGGAGCAGCTAACATCCTAGGGAGAGCGTGATTTAAAAAACCACTTCCCCAGGCTAAATTTTCATGAGAGAGAGAAACTCTTCTATAGACAAGAACTAAGGCTTGTGACTTCATGGAAAAGACCAGAATTTGGATAAGGAACCAAATTGATGAATTCGACCATCTACGATACAGTTTTATGACTATATTGTCTAAATTGAACATTCTTCAGAAAGGAATATTCCTCTACCAAGGGTATCTGGATTGTGTTTTCTTCTCTCCCAAAACATTCTCAGGAAAGATGCTGTGGACATCACACACATTTTCTGGTTACACTTAAGATCTCAAGCAACGAGTATGCCTGGTTCTCTATCTTACCAGCTAAGGACCCTCATCAAGGATGCTCTAGGAACCCATGAGATGGAGAAAAGAGGCCCTTTTCTTGAGGGGATGGAGGGATTTCTTGGCAGCTGGTGGTAGTCGGTATTTACTATGTTTGGAAGATTACAGCATGATTCAGACAGGGCTGAGTCAATAGGAAAAGTCCCCTGGTGCTAGGCCATGTCCTTTCCTGTGGAGAGCAGGCCCCTTCTTAGTTTTCATCATGGAAAAGTTATGCTTGCCTCCCAGTCCACGGGAGGGTTGGCTAGTAGTTCCTCTATTTATGTCATATTTTATTACACTCCCACTATGCATCGGCATTGTCCCGGGTACTCACAGTTCAATAGTGGACCTAAAAGACTAATTCCTTCCCTATGGACTTTACGGTCTAGCCAAGAGACAAGCAAGACGACTAGAGTACATTAGTTGATAAGCTGATAGGTTCTACTGAGAAATGTGGTCATCACGGCAGTTTAAAGGCTGGAAGGGAAAGGCTTGTTGGGAAGACCCCTGCGAGAGGGCCATGCAGCTAGCCAGCCGGGGGAGGAGGCCGGCCTCTAGATGGTGTTGAGGCCATGAGGCAGGGTTGGGCCTGATGTGTTCAAGGAACAGCACGAGACCAGCAAGAGTAGGAAAAGGCAGATGATCAGTCTTTGGAATAGTCTGGAGGATAGTACAGCAGAAGGGACCAGAGAGTGAGACTAACCAGAGTAGTCTATTCTTCTATTTTTAGATGCGAACGAGTGTGAAATTGGCCTGGAGTTCTGTGATAATGGAGCAGAATGTGTGAACAGATTTGGCTCTTACTAATGTCGCTGCCAAAAGGAGTATGAAGACCATACCCCACGCAGCCTGGCACGCTGTGTGTGCACACTCCTCACAAAGGCACTGGCTGCCCAGATGCCCTCTCGTTTGTACGCTTACGAGCTGCTGGGATCTCCTGTGAGATCTGTACCATCCTCAGATCAGGGTTGAGCTCTCATTCTGATGCCTCTGGCCACAAAACACCAAAAAGCAAACATTCTCGGGAGGATACAAAGTACAGAATCAGTTCTAGAACTTGGAACACAGCATAAAACCATTTACTATAAGAATCTTCGCTGTGCTGACTTCTCCTTTGCAAACTTTGGTGTTGAAGCACTTCCCTAAGGATGCCAGTCCTGACCCTGATCAGAAGTGGGTGTATGTAGCATTGAACTTGAACATCTCATTGTCTCCCCCAAGGCTCTGTATGTCATGCCCTTGCTTTTAGACGTTTTCTTACCAAAGATAAAATTGGCCGGGGACTTGCACGGGATTAAGTGAGCTTGTTCTGAGCCCGTTTGGCAGAGAGCAGTTGGTAATGAACTAGCTGATGCCCTTAGCTTTTAAAGGAGCTATTGCTGGTGATGGTAATCCATTTGGTACGGTCACCTCTGAAATAATATAAACTGCCTGGTGCCATCAAAGGCAGATCAATGGACAGGATTTCTCTTTCTCATCTTGCCAACTTGCTGTGTGACCTTGGTCCTCGGGTCTTGAACAAAAGCTTCAACCAGACATCAAAGGTTTTGTCTGGCTCTTTGCATGCTAGATGTTGAAACTCTAGCAAAGATGCTATTGGGCTCTAAGGGCAGGTGGGCGATCTTGCAATACTGTTTGCATAGTTCTTTAGGTTTTTATGTGTGTGTGTGTGTGTTTCTTAGTTTTTATGTCTCAAAGGGAGATTCAATTTGGCACAGAATACGGGCTTAGTATGTATTAACTGAATATCTTATGACTCGGAATCTACTTGTGACCAACAATTTGAAATTTTTCCATGTTTTTTCTCTTCCTGTGCCCTCCAAGTGACTAGATAAGGCAATGTCTCAGTCCATTTGGTCCGCTGTTACAGAATACCATAGACTGGGTGCTGATAAACAACAGAAATTGTTCTGGAGGCTGGAAAGTCCAAGATGAAGCCTCCAGCACCTTCAGTGTCTGGTGAGAACCTGCTTCCTAGTTCTTAGCCAGCCGTCTTCTTGCTGTGTCTTCACTTGGTGGAAGGGGGCAAGGCTGTTTCTTGGGCCTCTTTCAAAAGGATACTAATCCCATCCACTGAGGGCTCAACCCTCTTCACCTAATCCCCTCCTCCCAAAGTTTTCACCTCCTAATTCCATCACCTTGGGGGTATGATTTCAATCTACAGATTTGGAGAGGACATTAACATTCAGTCCATTGCCTGCAGTGACAAGAGTCAAGGTGAAATAAGTTCTGTGAGGCAGCCACCTTGAAGTTTCAGAAATCTGGCATCTGTGGATTTTGCCCTAAAGATAGTTTCTAGATGGTATGCAAACCAGTTATAGTTCTTTGGATCTATAGTAAGTTACATGATGATGGGATACATTTTGGAGTACAACTGGCCCTTGTGCTTCTCTTGGTGAACGGTCTCAACTTTAACGGTTTCTGTCTTTTAAAAAATAGATAAAATTAATTTCTGATATGCCTAAGATGGAAGACCTTTAGTTATTAGCTCATAGGAAATTTAGAATCCACATTGCAAAAGGATGTGGGACATTTTTCAAAGCTAACTTTGTGTACATGAGTAGGATTCTTGAGGGAGGTGTACAGCAAAAGTTGGTGACAAGTCTTTACCAGATTCATTTTGTTATAAGTCTGGCTTTGGCTTTGCTAAAATATTAGCAGTCAGTTCCTTTGTTTATTCTCTCAAAAAATAAGTACCTACTAATGTGCCAGGCAATATGCTAGGGACAGGGGATAAGAGTATAAATCTCTGAAGGTGCTTTTGAGAGTCTGTTAGATAATGGACTGTCATTTGGTTATCTTTTTTTTTTTAATGTTTCTTTGTATTTCAGGAGTTGAGTTATCCTTTAATTACCTGGACTTGCTGGTTGGAGTTGTTGTGTTCACTGAAGCCCTGCTCATGTTGGCTGTTGACCTCAATGTGGCTCTTGACTAGAACCTACATTAAGAAGGAAAATTCTGTGGGTCAGAATGTGTCACCGCAGGAGTGCCGGCCTATAGCACCTGCTTTTGACCTGATAGACCTCTGCAGACACCTTCCCTTCAACCTCTACCAGCCTAAGCCCCATGCAAAGGTTCCAGATGGTGCTCAAGGCAAGAATGTTTCTCAAAACAGGGGACTGCAGGTGTGGGTAGAGCAATCAGAGAGGCTTTGGGCATAGCTACTGCCTCTAGAAAGGAGGGCAGGAGTGGAGTCATCCTTTGGAGGAAAAAACCTCACTGTCAGGTCACACCTCATGAATTTAGGAAGAACTACCTTGATTCTGATCTTGCCTGTCACTTCTGTTCTTTATGATTCCAACGGTGTTGTGGTTCCTGACTCTCCCTGGGGAGGAGGCCCCTGTGTGCTTTTGGGGGGCGGGGGAGAGGAGGTCTGCATCAAGACTCAGCTTATAATCCCAGCAAAGGGCCGAGGTAGACTTCTGGTGACCCAGACACTTGAGGTGATGAGTGTGGTCCACAGGAGGTGTCCACGGGAGCAGCATGCACATGGTACCAACTTACGAAGTTGAATGAGTTTATCAATGGACAGGCTAGGGAACTGTTAAACTCCCCTAAAAGAAGAGGGTGAGAACTCTTGATTCTTTTTCCTTCATACTTGGTTGTTTTTTTATTAGATTATGAATTTTTTTTTTATGGAGAGAGTCTTCTGTTCTTATTCCATTTGCATCACCATATGTGCCAGGTTTTACAACAGCCCTAAAGCTTGACCCTAAATAAAAAAGAAACCCTTTTGTATATTAAAAGAAATACAGCTCTCTGGATCATCTTTTTAAAATCTACCACTAATGTTTGGCTCTTTATCTTTCAAAAACGAGGTGGTTACCATTTGTTTTAAAGGTTCTCAGGCCTAATTCCAAAGCCAGAGTTCCTCCATACACAACACGAAGCAATTCTCAGGCACCCAAGTATATCTGAGAATCCAGTGAATTCTGATACTACCTACCTGGAGATGCCACCCGACTCCCCAGGTTAAAGGTTCAGTCCTACAGACTGCCCCCCACCCGCTACTTCAGACACGAGTCGAAAGCCCCAGGTTGTGACCTGTGCTTCTGACCAACTGGCTACAGATTGGAGGCTCCAGTGACCTCCTTCTTAGGTTTGATTAGTTTGCTAGAGCTGCTCACAGAGCTCAGGAAATGTCTTATTTACATTTGGCAGTTTATTAAAGCATGTGATGAATACAAATCAACAACAGCCAGATGAAGAGTTACATAGGGCCAGGCCTTGAACAAAGGACCTTCTCTCCTCATGGAGCTTGGGGCCTGGCTTGGTGGCACATGGGAGCATTCCGGTTTCCCAAGTGTGGAAGCTCTCCAAAAAAGACCGAAAGGTGTCCCCATGGGTTTTTATAGAGGCTTCATTACATAGTCGTGATTGACTAACTCATTGGGCTTTGGCTGATTCAACCTCTAGCCCCTTTTCCCTCCCGAGGAGGGGGCGATGGCAGGGGGGCATTGGGAGGTGGGATAATTCAAACTCCCTAATCACATGGTTGGTCCTCCTGGCAACCAACCCCTGCCCTTGGGTGGGGTCTGAAAGTTACCTTATTAATAACAAGACACCCCTTTTACCTTCATATTCCTGAAGCATTTTCAGGAACTATTGATGAAGACCAAATACACCTGAGAGATGTATTTTGGTCATCTGAATGACCAAATATATATTACTTATAAGTCATTGTATTGTATATTGCTCAGCTCTTTGTCCACACTTGGCATTTTGTGGAGGAGACATTGGAGAGGATGCCAGAAGTCTTAAATATGGTTCCTGCCCTCACCATGCTCCCTTTTGCTTGTCAGCTGTATGGAGCATGAGAAGTGCTGGGTGGGATGAAGTACGGAGCCCTTCCCAGAGGAGGAAGCTCTAAGTGCTGCAGCTGGACTTAACTGGCTGTGGGGGTGGGATGGAGCAGCTTTTATGCCTGCCTTCTAGAAAGTGGAGGCATGAGGGCTGGAGTACCGTGGCATGAATGTGGCTCCGTAAGGCAGGTACCAGCTTCTGCCTGGGGCCCTAGCCAAGGGGTGGGGAGAGGAAAGTGTGCAGCTTTGTTCTCATTGTGCCCCAGAATATAAAGGAGGCCACCAGTAGTGCTGGATCACCTGCTGGTGTGGCAGGACGCCGCGTACCAGCATGACCTGAACAAGTGCTGGCCAGTTGTCACTTGGCCTGCCACCATACTCTAGGTTTTGAAATCTTTTTATGAGCTTGCTTTATTTATTTATTTATTTATTTATTTATTTATTTATTTATTTTATTATTTTATTGATTTATTCTTGAGAGACACACAGAGGCAGAGACTTGAGACACACAGATGAGGGACTTGATCCCAGGACCCTGGGATCATGACCTGAGCCAAAGGCAGACGCTCAACCACTGAGCCACCCCGGTGACCTATAAGCCTCTTTTAAAATGGAAACATGCCTGGGCAGCCTGGGTGGCTCAGTGGTTTAGCGTGACCTTTGGCCCAGGGTGTGATCCTGGAGACCCAGGATCCAGTCCCACATCAGGCTCCCTGCAGGGAGCCTGCTTCTCTCTCTGCCTGTGTCTGCCTCTCTCTCTGTCTCTCTGTGTCTTTCTTAAAGAAAGAAAATGGAAACACTCCTAAGAGGTTTGAGCCTTCATCAACCTATGTACTTGGGCTGCACCTTCTTTTTTAAATAAATTTTACTAAGGTATAATTTACATACCCTAAAATTCACCTATTTTAAGTGAGCTGTGCAACCATCATCACAATCCAGTTTTACAACACTGTCCTCATCCCAAAAAGATCCCTTCTACGTATATTGTAGTCATTCTGTTTCCACCTTCAGTCCCAGCAACCACTAACCTTCCCATTTCTGTGGGTTTATCTCTTGAGATGTCATATAAATGGAATCACAGAATATGTGGTCTTTGGATCTGCTTTCACTTAGTATAATGTTTTGGAGGTTCATCTCTATTGTAGCGTGTCTGTAATCTGCCTTTTTATTGCCGAATAATATTTCATTGTATTTATCACATTTTCATTCACTGTTGATGAACGTGTGTGTTATTTCCAGGTTTTGGCTATTATGAATAATGCAGCTGTGAACATTTGCATGCATGTCTTTAGACATAAATGTTCACTCACCTTTTTTGTTTGTTTTTTTGTTAGAGAGGGAGGGCACACACAGGGTGTGAGCAGGGTGGGGGTGCAGAGGGAGAGTGGGAGAGAGAGAATCTTAGCCAGGCTCCATGTCCAGAATAGAGCCTGATGCTGCTCTCGATCTCACAACCCTGAGAATGTGACCTGAGCTGAAATCAAGAGTTGGACACTGAGTGGAACAGACTGAGGCACCTAGGCGCCCCATAAATGTTCACTTGTCTTGGCTAGATTCCTGGGAGTGAGATTGCTGGGTCATATGGTAATTTTTGCTTAACTTTTAAAGAAACTGCCAAATTATTTTCCAAAGTGGTCGCACCATTTTACCAACCTACACTCAGCTGTGTCTGAGGATCACAGTTCCCCACCCCATCCTTGCCAAAGCTTGTTAGTGACTTCCGTTATAGCCATCCTGGGTGTGTGGTATCTCATTGTGGTTTCAATGATCTCCTGCCCTCCCTAATGCTACTGATGGAACATCTTTCATGTGTGGATGTCATTCATTTATCTTCTGTGGCGAAATGTCTCTTTGGCTGTTGCTTCTTAGACTCCCAAGAGAAGGAGATTATAAAGCTCCCTGCGGGTAGAGTAGAGGGGGGGGTCCTCTTTTTTTAATTCCCTAATCTCAACTGCCCAGCACAAGAGTTGAGTGTAGAAGGCCGTGCACCAGTTTCTGAGGGCTGCTTATTACAAACGGGATGGTTCAAAACAACACACGTTTATTGTCTCATAGTTCTGGAAATCCGAAGTCTGAAATCGATTTTACTGGGTCAAAATCAAGGTATCAACAGAGCCTCCAGGGAAGCATCCATTTCCTTGCCTTTCCAGTTTTTAGAGCTGTGTTCTTTGGCCTCTGGCCCCTTACCCATCCTTAAAGCAGGCAGTAGCCTCTTACATCCCTCCCTGGCCCCGTTCCTTTGTAATACGTTTTTCTCTCTCTTCTTTTTTTTCCGCTTTTCTTTCTCTTCTGCGGCAAAATCTCCCTCCGTCTTGTAAGGATGCCTGTGATTGCATTTAAGACTCACCTGAATAATCCAGGATTATCTCCCCATCTCAAGCCCCTTAATTTAATCACACTTGCAAAATCCCTTTTGCCATTTCAAGGAACATTCACAGGTTCCAAGGATTAGGGGCTGCCCGGGGCCCAGGCCTCCGCCGTGCAGGCCTTGGAGGTGGCGGCTCGGAGAGGACCTGCCCGGAGGCGCCTGGGGGCGCAGGTAGGCCCGGGAGGGGTGAGCCGCTGCGTACCGGCCTCTCCCTCCTCCCGCCCCTCCCCCTCCTCACCTTCTCCTGGAACTTTGGAAGCGTTGACGGCGTTTTTAGAGCCGGGAAGGGCTGAGGCAGCCGATGGTCTCGGGCCGAATTAGAACTCGGGGCTGGTGACGCCCAGGGGTGCCCGGGTACCCCCCCACCCCGCACCTGCCGTCCAGGTCGCGGTCCGGGCAGGGCGGCCGCCGGCTGCGTCCCCGAGTGCGGCCAGCAGGGGGCGCCATCCCCCGCGCTAACGCTCGTCCGGCCGCCGCGGCTTCCTGGCGCCTCCGGTTTCGCTCGCGTCGCGGCGTCACGGTCGGAGCCACCGGCCCTCGGCGTCGCGGGCCCCGGTGGGAGCCCGGGAGAAGGCGCAGCCAGGGCGGGGCCCGCGGGGCGGCTGCGAGGGGAGGGCCGTCCTCCCCACCGGGCCGGGGGCAGGCAGGGGGGAGGCCGGGGGGGAGGGCCTGGGGGAGGCGGGGAGGGGCGGGGGGCTGGGGAAGGGCGGGGGAGGCAGGGGGCGAGGGGGGAAGGGGGGCAAGGGGGGGCAGGGAGGCTAGGGGAGGCGGGGGGGTGAGGGGAGGGCGGGGAGAGGCAGGGAGGCCTGGGGGAGGCGGGGAGGAGGCAGGGGGGAGGCGCGGGGGAGGCCGGGGGCGAGGGGGGAAGGGGGGCAAGGGGGGGCAGGGAGGCTAGGGGGAGGCGGGGGGGTGAGGGGGAGGGCGGGGAGAGGCAGGGAGGCCTGGGCGAGGCGGGGGGAGGCGGGGAGGAGGCAGGGGGGAGGCGCGGGGGAGGCCGGGGGCGAGGGGGGAAGGGGGGCAAGGGGGGGCAGGGAGGCTAGGGGGAGGCGGGGGGGTGAGGGGAGGGCGGGGAGAGGCAGGGAGGCCTGGGGGAGGCGGGGAGGAGGCAGGGGGGAGGCGCGGGGGAGGCCGGGGCGAGGGGGGAAGGGGGGCAAGGGGGGGCTGGGAGGCTAGGGGGAGGCGGGGGGTGAGGGGAGGGCGGGGAGAGGCAGGGAGGCCTGGGGGAGGCGGGGAGGAGGCAGGGGGGAGACGCGGGGGAGGCAGGGGGCGAGGGGGGAAGGGGGGCAAGGGGGGGCTGGGAGGCTAGGGGGAGGCGGGGGGGTGAGGGGAGGGCAGGGAGAGGCAGGGAGGCCTGGGGGAGGCGGGGAGGAGGCAGGGGGGAGACGCGGGGGAGGCAGGGGGCGAGGGGGGAAGGGGGGCAAGGGGGGGCTGGGAGGCTAGGGGAGGCGGGGGGGTGAGGGGAGGGCAGGGAGAGGCAGGGAGGCCTGGGGGAG